GTACTGGAGATAGCATGCAGACTGTCCCATGTCACAAGTCCTGCCAGATACAATGAATGAGGTTGAGAACCAAGAAACCGCCACTCACCTATCTCAATACAAGGTGGATATGGATCTTTCTCAGCAACATCAGCAGATTCATTCTGCAGCATGTCATTTCACACACAAACAAGAGAGAATGTAAGATGAGTGTTCACAAGCAGTAAAAGAACACCGAAAAAAAAAACTCTGTTCAAATTTTAAATTTTTTTTACTTGTTCAGATTATTCTTGTACTCTTTCCGTCCTTTTTTTTGTTTTTTTTCCCCACTTTCCTTCCTTGTTTTCCATTTTTCTTTTTCTGGTACCCGAGTGGTACAACACACACACACACAAAAAAAAAAAAACAAAAAAAAAACAGGACACTGTCAATCAACAGATTTAAGGTTCAAAGGCCACTGTATGCAACCATGTTTTAGGAGATTAGGAGCAACCCCCCATTTTTCTTTTAAAAAAAAAAAAAAAAAAAAAAAAAAAAAAAAAAAAAAAGAGCAAACTACAAAACGGTTGAAAAACCGAACTCCGGATTTTTCTTTTTTTTTTTTTTTCTTTTCTTTTTTTTCTTTTTTTTTTTGTGGAGCATGTCATTTCTCTGCACACAAGCGATGTAGGCAGATTCTGCGCCTCGCCACACTACTCACAAGACGTGAAAATGACGAACGCACCTTCACAAAGAAGGTGGCAAGATACATGAGCTACTACGAATGACAGCGGTGAATGTATCTCGCCACCTTCTTTGTGAAGATGCCCTCCCCAATTTACATCTCTCATGAGTTTGTGTGGTGAGTCCCTACGCGAGCCGAGTCCTCAACATTCGCTCTCAGTCGGCCGTCACAAGATCTCACAGTATAGACTACTGGAAGACGACTACTGTCATCCCGCGAACATAACGCACCCTGGTAATGAATGTATATACGCTGTATTTCCAGTCAAATACAGCCAAAATAAACTTAACCACGGAATACATCCTCGTAAGGTGAGCGCGACGATAGTCCAGGGAAATAAGCTTTCCACATCTCTATCGACAGGTAAGTGAGATCTACGTCTATACGACAGGGCACGACAACATTCCCAAAGCTCAGTTTTCTTCTCGTTGCATGGCGAGTCATCGGTTGCCCCTGCGTTGTCACTTTCGGAGGCGTCGTCGCTTGTAAGTGCTGATTCGTCATTTCCTTTAGCATATTCCGGTATGACCTCCCTTCGTGCCTTCCTAGCCAACTTGAGCTCTCTTGTCTGCCAGCGCCAGTAGCGCCTGCCCTTTGCGGACGTATGGCAAACACTCGTCTCTTCCACATTCTCTGAATCACGCCGGCAATCTAGACCGTCCAAGTGTTCCGCAGTATCTTTGACAAACAGTAGCCTGGATCCTGCCCCACATCCTGCTACAGCCCCTTTCACTGCAGGTTTGTTCTTTTCTCGAAGCTTCTTCATAGGAACCGCCTGCCCTTTGGCGGTTTAGAAAAAAAAAAAAAGAAAAAAAAAAGGGTGACGGCCTTGAGATGGTGATTACTGAAGGCAGAACAGTTGAAACACTGTTCCACTTACTACCGTCTTCACCCCGGCAGAACGCCCGGACATTGTCGCCGTATAAAGCCTGAACATCGACCAAATACAGCTATAATGACCGGGCGTTCTATTTCGGTGAAGGCGGTCGGAAGGCAGGGCAATTAGAACACACTGTTACTGGAAGGCAGAGCAGTTAAACCACCACCACAAAAAAAAAAAAAAAAAAAAAAAAAAAAAAAAAAAAAAAAAAACAACAGAAAAACAAAAAAAAAAAAAAAAAAAAAAAAAAAAAAAAAAAAAAAAAAAAGAGAGAGCAGTTAGTCCTTCGGGACATCCGTTACAATTGGAACGATACAGAGAAGATTAGCATGGCCCCTGCACAAGGATGACACGCAAAAATCGAGAAATGGTCCAAATTAAAAAAAATATATAATTATAAAAAAAAAGCAGTTAAACCACCACTACCTTTCACATATGTCGGCCGTGGGCGAGGCCCCACGAGGCCCCACAATTTTCGGAGGTCGGTAACGGGAAAACGGCCGCTGACCAAATTTATCAACGGCGGCCGCGCGTTGGACCCGGCCTTCGGAATTTGAGGATGAGGTCTTTTTCCCAATGGGACACCGTCCTAAAGGTAGTGGTGGAGGCAAGTTTTCATTCAAGCAGTAGAAGCTACTGGCGCGGCTAGTGCTAACACAGCGCTACCTTAGTGCTGCCGGGGGAGCAGCGTCCGGGCAACGGGAGACCGCATTGGTGCTGTCACAAACCAAGGCAGCGCCTCGCCAGAGCTTGTTGCTGGGTTGGCGGGAGTGTTGGGGGATTAGAGAAGCTAGGGCGCTGGATGGACCCTGAAAATTCTCACGCCAATATATAACTGTTGAAACACAGATCCAAAGTTCAAACCACACTTCAATCAGGCTAGGAGCTGAACTCCTTTCCAAAAAAGGCAAAAAAAAGTTTAAAGAAGCAGTTACTGAACGGCAAATTGAATTCTGAAGTCTACTATGCCATAAGATTTTGAGAATTTCCACATGCCCAAATCCGGCTGTTACTGGTAATGAATGTATACACGCATAATAGTATAATAATACGCTATATTTACAGTTAAATACAGCCAAAATAGTAAAATACACTTCTCTAACCACAAGGGAGCAGAAAACAAGCAGTTCATGCAAGCAGAGTCCTCCGTAGAGGGAGATGGCCCCTAACATTCTTGTGCCAGCCAGATTTAAACTCATGACGTGTTTGTTAAGAGTTGCATGTCTGTACCATTCGGCAGCGGTGCCAATCTGTTTCGTCCGACTTTCGCCTCAGACAAACAAGAATTGAGTCAGTTGACCTTACACAGGCTTACACAGGCTTACAGTCCTTCCGATTCCTTTGGGAGATCCGTTAAAAGTGGAACGATACAGAGAAGATTAGCATGGCCCCTGCACAAGAAGAGAGGGAAAAAAAGAACTAACCGTACAGCTTGGCGCGATAGTACTCCGCACTACTGCAAGGAAAATGAGCGATAGCGAACTCCAGAAACCAAGCAGCATCATACACATGAAACCAGATAGTCGTGACCTCGGAGCAAAAGCAGAATTGCAACACGAGTTTCACCAAATAAGAGCACAGCAAAAGCTCACAAGTGACAATGTTGGAATAGTCTCATCATCATCAACAATGAACCAATGTCGACATCCTATCTGGCGCTCTGCGCCCAGACTACAAATGGCAGATCCTATCTACCCTATCTACAATGCCCGTGGTGACATCGACAGCTCCCCGAAGTGCGAGCAGATCTTGGTCAATGTCGTTCGCCTCAAGCACCAGGTATGTCTCTCGCATCACTCACAACCTCGATCCCCCACTCACAGATGCCACATGCACCCAAGGACCACTATGCGCCCCATCCAGCATAGCGCAGCGCAGCTCGGCTATGGCTGCCTGCTCTTCCTGCTCTTCCTGCTCGCCCATGAGCACGTGGGCGCTGGCCGGCGTTTTGCGCAGCGTGCAGCCAGTATCCAAATGCCCAATGCGAGGGCGGGCACTTTCCTAAATGGAAGTGGCCTGCCTGCTGCGTGTGGCCTGCCTGCACTGGGGCCCTGCCCAGAAGCTTCTGGTAGGCCCCGAGAGGCTGAGCCCCGGTCCAAACGAAAAGGCAGCCAGGGCCTGGGTGCTCTCAACCAACTGGCGCTGCGCAATTGCCTGAATTTCCCCAGTTGCGTGGTGGCCAAAAAAAATAGGCCTCTTGGCCTTGGTCGTACCCACCTTCACTTAGGGCGGACGACAGTGCTGCTTACAGGGCCAAAAAGGGGCTTGTCAGGGCCTTATGCCTTGCATTCCCTCCTCCATACTTCGACAGTCCTCTGAGAAGTTTCATAACTCAATCTGGAGCTTTCCCTTCTGCAGTAACTTCTCGTAGTGAGCGATAGCCCGTGGAGCGGTCTGCATTAGTTCCTCCCGGGTGAACCATCTGTCCTCCTTAGGATCAGTGTGATGTCTGAACCGAACGCGATATTGCAGCTTCGGCTTAGGAGGACGTCCCCTGCCTGTTGGTCTTGGAACTGGCATTTCCCTGTGGTCCATGATGTCGTCGATTTCGAACTCTCCATCCATGGTTGGGGGCAGCATTGAGCAACGAGAGGGGAACTGATCAGTTTCTCCGAAAGGTGCAAGTTTGGAGGCGTGAAAGACAGGGCACGTACGAAGGTGACCAGGGATCCGGATTACATATGACGGCCCATCCGGATCACCCCCGACAACATCAAGAACCTCCCATGGTCCAAAGTACTGTGGCATGAGCTTGCGGGAGATCCCGTGCTCCTGTCCCGGTTCTGAGGACTTGACCCAGACTCTGACCCCTATCTGAAATGTAGATGGGCGGCGGTGTTTGTTCTTAGACTCTATCATCGCTGCCTGTGCCTTGTGCATTTGTTCTACAGCTTGCTGCATCAGGCGCTCATGTCGATAAGCGAATTATAAAGTGACTGGTGCGGCAGTCGGCTGGTTTTCCGGTAGTAGGAAGTCGAGAGGCAGTCTAGGCTTGAAACTTGGAAGTCAATAGCAGGCTGTTAGGACTCACCCCTGTTGCGCTGTGCACAACGTTGTTATACAGACTGGCGATGAGAGCAAATTTCTCATCCCAGTCCACCTGGTTAGGCTTGACATAATGCCTCAACAGGTGTACAGCGCGGTTCAGCTGCTCTGCTTGCCCGTTTGCCTCTGGGTGGTTCCCAGAAGTCATCTGCAGCTGTGTTGCCTGTTCTGCAGCTGCAGCCTTCCACAACTCGCTGGTGAATCGGACATCCCGGTCACTCACAATAGCCTTTGGAAGCCCAAAGTCTCTGACCCAGTTCTCTTTGAACAGCTCGATCACATACTCGGTCTTAGCTGTAGCAGGCATTGAGACTAACCTAGCATACTTACTAAACCTATCCACAATGACATAGACATATCGCATTCCGCTCTTGCTGGTGAACAGCGTGTCCATGAAATCCATAGACAGGCTCTCACTGGGCCTTTCCGGAATCGGAAGGGGCTTAAGAAGCCCAAGAGGGGCCTGTGTTCGTGGCTTGTCTCTCTCACTCACTTGACAAGTCTCCACGTACAGCTTCGCATCTTTCATCATTGTGGGCCACCAGAACTGCTGCAACAAGTTTGCTGCAGTCTTCCTATACCCAAAATGTCCGCTGGCGTCATGACACTTGCCTAAAAATAAACTACGCAAAGACTCCCGATTTGGAACAGACAATCGTTTATTCCCGGCCTTCTCAAGGAACAGCAGGTCGTTGACCAACACAAACTCGTCAGCAGTTACTTTGTCCTTTGCCTCGAGTCTGCGTATGATTTCGACCATAAACAGGTCCTCGAGATAGGCTTCCACCAAAGACAGAGTAACATCGTCCGCAAGCCCAAACTCAGTGATCAACGCACCGAGAAAGTCTGGCCTACGCAACAGCGCATCAGCAACCTTGTTGTACTCCCCTTGATGTACTGGGGCTCGAAGTCATATTGCTCTATGACTTCAATCCAACGCTTTAGAGCATCGGAGAGTACCGGTTGAGTCTTCATCCACCTCAGGGTCTGATGATCAGTCCTGACGTAGAAGAAGTGACCAAGGAGGTAATGCCTCCAGTGAGTCAACGGTTTGTAGATCGCGTAGAGTTCCTTCTCATAGGTGGACTTAGCCAGCTTCTGAGAGGGCATTTTTTTGGACATGTACTCTACCAGCCTCAACTTTTTCCCCTCCTGCTGCGCAAGTACGGCACCAATGCCATACTGGCTGGCATTCGTGGTCACAACGAAAGGTTTGTCAGGATCGGGCAGCTTGAAGACCTCATGGTGAGTGAGGGCATGCTTCAGATGTCTAAAAGCAGCCTCACACCTGTCTGTCCACTCCCACAAGGTGTCAAGGTGTGTTAGGTCCGTTAAAGGGGCGGCCATTATGCTATAGTTTTTAACAAAATTGCAATAGTAGACGGTCATCCCTAAGAAGGACCTCATCTCAGTCACAGACTGAGGACGCGGCCAGTCACGAATGCTGGCCACCTTCGCGTCATCAGGTTTCAGTCCCTCCGCGGAAATCTCATGACCCAAGTACAAGATCCGGGTGCGACCAAATTCACATTTCTCCCAGTTGATCTTGAACTGGTGCTGTCGAAGAAGGCTAAGGACTTTATCTAAATGGCCGACATGCTCCTCGACGGTCCTACTGAAGATAAGTATGTCATCGAGGTACATTAAGACAAACTTGTCCCAGTCATGAAAGATCCGGTTCATGGCGTGCTGAAAGGTGCCAGGAGCATTCCAAAGGTCAAAAGGCATCACCACAAACTCGTACAGACCGTACCCGGTCTGAAAAGCGGTTTTGTGTTGATCCTCGGACCGTATTGCAATCTGATGGTACCCGGATTTCAGATCTATCTTTCTGAAGTGCCAGCACCCTTGCACTCGGTCCAACAAGTCATCGATGCGTGGTAGGGGCTTTGCGTTCTTCACAGTGATGGCATTGAGGCCCCTATAGTCAATGCACATCCTCAAGGTCCCCCCCTTCTTTGGTACGGATAAGACTGGAGACCCGTAAGGGGAGACACTAGGCCAGATCCAACCCTTCTCTATGAGATCCTTGAGCTGTCGGCGAAGCTCATCAAGCTTTGCTGGAGACATCCTACAGATCCTACCCTTCAAAATGCTAGACCCTGGGATAATCTCTATCACATGGACGACCTCCCTCTCAACAACCCCTTTTGGCTCTTCGAATAGATCAGGGTACTTGGCGACTACTCCCTCCATCTCTCGAGGCATTTTCACCGGCTCACCCTCTATAGAGACAAACTAAGTACATACCCTCCTTCGGATTTTGCTTATAATAATCATAGAACACGCCCGCACACATGCATCCGTAGGACTCGATCAGACTACTAGCCTTAAACTTACGTAATCTGGCGGTCCCCCCTCCGAGCAAAGTGTGTTTGACCACTTTTCGGTCCCACTCAAATTGGGGCTGTGCAACCGAAAGATAGTACATATTCAACAAAATATCCCATTGGGAGATCATCGTTGACTAGGAATGAGACTCGATGCCTCAGTTCCCCTCCCTCGTACGGGAATGGACACTCAATGTCTTTAAGGTAGTCAGTGACTACCATGCGCTGTTTGTTGGCACAGGTCGACTCCACAGGTCGACTCAGGCGTTGCACTTGCCCCTGTAAGCGCAGCCTCTCAACGCACGCGCGACTAATAAAGTTTTGAGTCGAGCAAGTGTCATAATAAGCCCCGACCTTGCGGCCGCCGATGATTACCTCGGCGACGAACAACTCACCCTTAGGGGCTTTGGCCATTGCGGTCCAAGAAGCTAGCGGGTCCGATCTAGACCACTCCTCCTCTAGCTCCTCAAAGGATTCAAACACATTCATCGAACAGAGGGTCGTTGGGTCTAAATGTGTTTGCGGGACGACTACAGAGTCAGTAGCTTGGGCTATCTCTCGAGATGGTGAGGGTGTGTTCACCACCTCGACCCTAGCAGGAACAACTACCATTCCTACTCGCCCGACGTGTTTCCCGAAGCAGTGCCAGAACTGCTGGCAACGTTGCTGCCTTGGGAAGCGGAGGATACCATCGCCTGCCCATTGATACGACACTTGAACTGGTTATGGCCATATTGGCCACAACGGATACAAGCCTACAAGGTGTACCGGTCTCTCCACACGTCCTCTGTAAGACCTGCTTTCTCCCATGGAGGAGCATTGGGGTCTACTTGACTCCTAGACCGGTAGCCTCCGCGGCGTCTACCGGTCGCCTTACCTTTCCGGACTGAGGCAGTGATTGCTCCACCCCTTGAAGCCTCTGCACTACCCGCCTCTGAACCTACTCCCTCATGGAAGTCATTATCTAATTCGATGGTAGATCCATCGAAATCGACGAACATAATGCGGCCCTTCGCCTTCCCTTTGGGAGGCAGTGACTTCTTCCTACCATCCGCTGTGGGTTGGTGCCCATGCTCTATCTTTGCCTCTAGGTCTAGGGCCTTCTTGCTGAACGAGGTGAAGTTGTGTACATTGATGTTTGCCTCACCTGCCAACTGATTCCTGAGTGGCATTGGAAGACACCTCAGGTAAGTGGTGAGTAAACCCTGGGGATCGTAACGTACTCCAGGCTATGTATCACCCGCGGCCGCGGCCGCGGACTCAAACTCGAAGGCCGGCCGTGATCACGGCCACCGCGGCTCCGACCTCGGTTGAGTGCGGCCGCGATTTTCATGAATTTTTTTAGACTTCAAAAAATTCTCAAATTTTTTTTTAAAAAAATGTTGTTATAGATCTTTTCGAGATCTAAATTGCGCAATTTTTATTTTATTTTTTGACTTCGTTTTCGAATTTTAAAAATTGAAAAACTAATTTTCCTGAGGCAAAAGCTGTTTTTTTTTTTTTTTTTAAGAAAAACTGTGAAACTTACATGTTTTTTTATTTTAAATTCAGTAAAGTTTTTGGATATGACCACAACGCAAAAGTTGTTCAATATACTTTTCTGCATATTGTTTTTCCAGAAACTTTTGAATTTTTTTATTATTATTTTTTTTTCTCATGGCCGCGGGGTCGCAACCTAGGTCACGCATGGCCGCCTCCGGAGGGGATTCATAGACTCCAGGTACAAAGATCATACGCTCCACTGCGTCTGTGGCATCCCTTACAGATTTCAACGATCTAGAGCTCAAAGTCAGGATCGCGTCAGTGGCCTTTTGAGCCTCCTGCGGATCATGCCATCTTTCTTCCACCAGCTTGAGGAAGTCATCCAATCTCTGGTTGACTGCCCAAGCGCGGAAGTCATGTCCGTATCCCTGTAGCTGTACTTACCCGTTCAGCCATCTTGCTGCACTCCCCTCTAAGTAGGAGGCAGCCACAAGCACTTCCTCGTGCGGCAAGGTCAACTTGCACTTTACGTAGACTGGTACTGACCTCAACCATGTGTCAAGGTCTTCGCCCCTCTTATCCCCTGAGAAGGGTTTAGGTGAGGCGATGGCAGTCTTTGAAACCCACTGGCCTTGTCCCGGTACCTGCACCACTCCAGGCTGTGGACCCTGGGGTGCAGTCTGCTGCACTAGCTGCTGTTGGGCCTGTGTGCCCTGCAGCTGTGTTGGCTGCGAGACAGTAGGTTGCCCAATTACGGCAGTCTACAGCTGAGGTTGGGAATACACTGTCTGTACAGGAATCTGTACAGTAGTACCTTCTTGAAACCCGCTTGTGAAAGGCATTCCTAGGGAAACGGCTGGTACCGATGCTGGAGGGACTACAAGCGGGGATACTCCAATCACCGGTGGGACAAAAGGAGGAGGCTGTACCACGGGCCAGGCACCGGGCCCTGATGGTGATGGTGCTGCTTGAACTCGCCCAACCAGGCTCCGCTGAATGTCCTGTAAGAGAGCCGTTTGGTGCTCCTGCATTTCCACTACATCTAGCAGGACTATCCGCAGGGTCCTCACATCATCATCCATATTCGTCAGGTCCATCCCCTCTAACTCACTAACGTCCACTTGTCTCCGCTGCATCCTTGATCTTCTTCTAATCATTCTTTCTATCTACCCTAAAGCCTGCTGTAGTTGTGCCTCGCGAGCAGCTGCTCGTTGTATGGCAACCTCCTAGGGGTTCAACACTATCTGCTGACTTGCCATGACACCAGCAGACTGACTCAGGGTCTGAGCAACGTACCTCAAAATAGCTGCCCCCAACCACAGATATTCTCACCAGATGACCTGACGTCGACTGTGATGACCAATCGCTGCTTCGACACAACCAGCATTTCACCGCCGTTCCACCTCAGCATCAATCGCACATCAGATAGTTCTCATCACACTGCGAACACCCAATAATCACTTTGTAGCCTTCCTGGTGATACCCCTCTCCACCTGGGTCGCCTGCTTGCCTTCCCCCTCCTCACTACACACGTCCCACGGCCGCTCACCCAGCAGACCACGTGCATGTACCGTATAGGCAGAAGACAAGTGCCAGATTAGCGCACTGTGCCACAACTACGATACCAAATTGCAAGGAAAATGAGTGATAGCGACTCCAGAAACCAAGCAGCATCATACACATGAAACCTGATAGTCGTGACCTCGGACCATAAGCAGTATTGCAACACGAGTTTCACCAAATAAGAGCATAGAAAAAGCTCACAAGTGAAAATGTTGGAATAGTCTCATCATCCTCAACAATGAACCAATGTCGACATCCTATATGGCGCTCTGCGCCCAAACTACAAATGGCAGATCCTATCTACCCTATCTACAATGTCGCTGGTGACGTCAACAGCTCCCCGAAGTACGAGCAGATCTCGGTCAATGTCGTTCGCCTCGAGCACCAGGTATGTCTCTCGCATCACTCACAACCTCGATCCCCCACTCACAGATGCCACATGCACCCAAGGACCACCATGCGCCCCATCCAGCATAGCGCAGCGCAGCTCGGCTATGGCTGCCTACTCTTCCTACTCTTCTTGCTTGCCTGTGAGCGCGTGGGCGCTAGCCAGCGTTTTGCACAACATGCACCCAGTACCCGAATGCCCAACGCGAGGGCAGGCACTTTCCTAAATGGAAGTGGCCTGCCTGCCGCGTGTGGCCTGGCTGCACTGGGCCCCTGCCCAAAAGCTTCCGGTAGGCCCCGAGAGGTTGAGCCCCGGTCCAAACGAAAAAGGCAGCCAGGGCCTGGGCGCTCTCAACCAACTGGCGCTGCACAACTGCCTGAATCTCCCCAGTTGCATGGTGGCCAAAAAAAATAGGCCTCTTGGCCTTGGTTGGGCCCACCTTCACTTAGGGCGGCCGACAGTGCTGCTTACAGGGCCAAAAAGGGGCTCCTCGGGGCCTTATGCCTCGCAGGCTCGCACTAATCACTGTTGAGCAAATATCACACAAAAAAATGTGAGGCTTCCGGCCCAGGCGAGACCGAAAAGGGGCAGTCTATGAACAATGAGCCCCGCCCTAAGTGAAGGCCGTGGCTATGGAAAATCGCTTGCCCTACATGAAGGCCTGCGCCAGACAGTTAGGAGAGGTCGGACACTCTCTGGCTTCGGCAACGAAACATTAGGCCTCTCCTGGGACCGCAAACTGGGACCCAGAGGCAGCAGGGACCTCAAACTGGGACCCAGAGGCAGCAGGGACCGCAAACTGAGACCCAGATGCAGCCTCCAGGAAGTGACAAAAGGGAGGAGACTGTACCATTCCACACATTCGGAGGCACTGGGTGCTAGCGCCAACTCTGCTACACTGTTATGATCCTGGTTGCTTGTTGTCAAATGACCAACACTCGCTCACATAAACTTCCAGGTATGCCCATACATACATAGAAGGTAGGGGAGAGGATGGGAGAATCATACCGCACAGGGAGAGAGAGACACAGTGGAAGACTTGACCATGCGATATGACAGAAAGCACTGACAATGCAATTCGCTCCACAGAATCCTCACAACCAGTCACAAAGGAAAGCCGAGTAGATCACATCCAAGAAACAATGAAGCAACGATAGTCCCAACACAGTGTCAACACTGTTTCTCAAACTCGAAGTCTTGAAATGTCAGAATAACCCCAAAACCATGGTGTGCTGCTCATTCCTGAGCAGCGCTTCACTCCCCAACCCTGAATAACCGCTAAAACCACCCCTGAGTCCCTGAAACATCAAGCGCCACCCTAAAACAGGCCTCTGAGGCCAAGCGCCACTCAAAGGATGAAGAAGAAGACCAACGCCACAGAGTCTGATGATGATGAAGTGCCAGATGACTTCCCGGGTGGAAGTCTGCAGCAGCGCCACCACTCCCGACAAAGATGATCTCTGAGGAAGACAAGCTGCACAGCTGCAGTGCCACAAACCCGGACACCCTACTCCTGAGGAGGGTTCAGCAGGGCACCAACTTCTCTCGCCTCCAGCAGACTTCGAGTAGCCCAGACCTCTGGACAGCCCCACGTGCTATCAGAGTACAGTGCCAGTCCCAGCTATGGCCGACACTCCGCAGGTCTGGCTATGTCTGTCCTCCTCGACGCTGAAGCTGTTACCACTCCCAGTTCACGCGTTGCACAGCGGCGACGTACATAGTACCAACCGCCAAAAGCCCTGAACCGATGTCCTCATCCTATCTATAACCTACCCTAGCCTAGACAAGACCTAGACCGGACTGACTGGACCGACCGGTACCGTTTCAGTTTTCGGGCTCCCGACCTCTACGTACCCGGCTATAGGCTATCGGACCATCTATCAGCATAGGCCTTTAGGGCCTGTCTGTCCCAGGGGTAGCCCGGGCCTGCTATCCGCAGTTAGGGTAGCTGTTGCATACTGTAAAGTGCAGACCAGAACAAGAACCGACCTCTCAATACAAAGTACAAGGTAACACAGCGGAAGACTTAGATACGAATGATCCGAACAATCAATATTGCAATGCAGC